CCCCGCAGGAGCCCACAGGCCGCATGCCGTTGCCCCTGGCTGCCCCTCGTGAGGCGCAAGGCCCGCCCGGCAGCCCCGCTCACCGCCTCTCGAGGCCCCGCGCCCAGCCAACCGCCCCACGCCGACCGTTACCTCGAAGGTCCTCCTCAACGGTCGGAGCCCACCCAGCCTCGCGGCCCCAGGGCCCGCCTCGAACCTGCAGCTCCACACCTGCGCCCCTCCGTCAAGTAGAAGCACCCTCGGGCGCTAGGCTCAGCCTCGCGGCTGAACAGGGTCCGCCAGGGGGCAGCCGGAGAAGCGGCCTCCCCCGCCGCCCGCTCTGCGTCGAGTGCGCTCCCTCAGCCTACGCCGCGCAGCCTCCGGCTAAAGGAGGAAGGCGGGAAGCACTCGGCCAATCAGCGCTGCGTCCAGTAACCGGCACAGCCAATTAGCGCCGCCAGCCGGGCAGGTCCCGCCCCCTCGTGCCGCGCACGTGCAGGCTTCGCGGGAGGGTGGAGGCGCCGGGGAGTCTCGCGGTTTCCCCGCCCCCTGCCGGGAGCGCGCGCCCACCGCGCAGGAGCAGCGGGGACGCGGACGGGGACGGGGACGGGGGCCGGCCGGCAGGGGGCGCAGCGCGGCTGTGTGCGGGGGGGCAGGCGCGGGAGCCCGGGCCGCGCAGCTGGGCAGTTTGGCTTCCAGGGCCGGTCCGAAAAATGAAACTGAACGCTCCTGGGAGCCCTGGGTTCGCCGGCCTCGGGGTGCGCCCTTGTTCCCTGAGGGTACCTGGCCCGCGTCCCTGCGAGGCTCCGCAAGGCCACGCCGTGCCGTCTCCCCCCGCCGCGCCGTGCGCTGAGCCGCTCTGCAGCCTGTGGCTGTGCGGGTCCCCGCGGCCCCTTCGCGCCCCACCTCCGGGGTCCGCGCCGCGCAGTCCTAACAGTGGGGTCGCCGTCGCCAGGCACGTGTGACCGCGGTGCAGAAGTCACCAACTCAAGATTTTAACTTCTTTTTTTGGGGGGGGGGGGGTCCGGTACTGGGGATCGAACTCACGACCTTGCGTTTGCCGGTCAGGCGCTGTGCTGCTGAGCTAAACCCCGCCCCGCCAACTCAAGATTTTAAATTATAGTCTAGTGACATACCCAGAGGCTATGTAAAAGGCAACGTTTGTATGAAAATACTGGGTTACACTGGGCTGAGGGGTGTAGCTCAGCGGTAGTGCACACGTCTAGCAGGCGGGACACCCTGGGTGCAATACGTAGGACTCCTCGCCCCTAAAACCGAAAATATTAGTCTATGATTTAAATGTCAAGTGGTGCGAAGCACTCAGGAAAATAAAGGGAGTAAAACTCCATTTGAAGACCAAAGTAGATCAAATGACATGGACTATACATTCTCAAAAATTTAAATTAGAAAAACATTGTTTAGTAATTACACACTCATTGGACTTAAATTTTGAGATTTTAACGTTTAAATTCAGTTTACAAGCTATATATGCAGTCTGCAGAGATTGGGGTGGTTTACATATTTACATTTTTAAAGTGGTTTAAACATCGTGTTAATGTATAGTGCAATATGTGAGATCATAGGTGCTTCAAACTCGTAACCTGACAGATTTCTACAATCATCACTTTTATATCTAGTTTCCCCCATTAAGTTTAGCTCCCTTCATGGGATTGTGAATTTTACTAATATCTTTCAAATTAAAAGTAATGATTTCTCATTTTGCCACTTTTTTAGTAGGGATAAAAAAGTTAGAACTCTTTCATTATGTAGAAAGCCAGGGATTATTTAGTATACATCAGTAAACTGCAGAACAATGCAGGAGGAAAAAAACTATCTCACTCATTTTAATCTTAATTTGAGTTATTTTTAAAACTTTCAGATTATGGCGTTTGAAAGAAAATTTTACCGATAATTATCAGAATTTGGCTTTCAATTAAAATTAGTTCTGCAGTGCCAAGGATTTAACCAAAGGCCTCGTGCATTCTAAGCAAGTGTTCTACACCCCAGCACTTTTCCATCAAATTTCACAGGCACACAACAGAGAAAATAAAGTTTGCACAGGTTTAAATGCTGAAATTGCCACCTACCACCTGTAGCTCATAAGATGAATTACTGAAATCTCTCTGAGCTTTATTCGCTTCAGCTAAGAAAATGGGGATGCTATCAGAAGGTGACATATTTTCCACACTTAATTAAGATCAAATACGTAAAGCATAGTATGGTAAATGTTACTTTCCTTCCCTCCCACTATGCAGAAGGCTTCCTACTAGGCTCAGGGTCACAGCTGGGGTAAGGGCTGGACAGCCAAACACACTGGTTATTCCACACCCAAGAGTCACTGACTGCTGTCAGAGAAGTACAATAATCATCACCCTTGCATTTTCCTAGAGCTGGCTTTATATATAAATAATGCTGACCCAAACAAGCTTTTACAGTTTCTCAAAGACATATACAATCTACTACTGATACTGAGGCACAATCATACAGTTCGTTGTTTTAAGCACACCCCTACATTTACCAGTGTTCTGAGAAGGTAAACCTGATGTATGAAGTGATTTAAACAGTCAAGAAGTTTCTCAAACGTTGTCTTCCGTAACTAGACCCTCAAAACAGACTCTGCTTTTAAATAAAGCGCACACACACACACATTTGTGCCCACACATTTTAATACTTAGGCTTCAGTAAAATTATTTTAAACGGCAGACATTAAATATATTTGAGATAACCCAGCTATTGCACTCCACTATAAAATTTTAAACATTCAAGCAATGTAACTAGATAACTTTCAGGGACTGAAAGTTCTCTTTGCGCTGTCTTAGGGTTTCTTTACCAACCAAGCAAGTCTATTTAAACTTTAAAATTTCAAAGTGTTGGTGTTTTTCCAAAGGCACCTTGAGGTTCGCTTAATTTTGAAGATACAGCATTTATATTCTAGGGCCAGAACCTTTTTGGCAAGAGACTTTTCACATAGATGATGGGATCCGCTCCATACCATAAATAACAATACATCTGGCAGCACAAATATGCACCTGAAGAGTCTGGACAATTGTCTTACACACTGGGCTGGGGACAAGGCAGAGCTGCCGACACAGGCTTGCTGACCTAATTGGACGGTCTGTGAGCAGCAGGAAATGTAACCAGGTTTCCCTCTCTCTTGCATGTCAATGTAGTATACAGTGCAAGGGCTCGAGGCTGAGCAATTCAGGCACAGTATTTTAGATGAAAATTCAGTGTTTATACATTAAAAGGTATCACAGAAAGCCATTCCCATCCTAATGTGTAAAACACAAAGGTCACAATGATCAAAAACACTGGTTAAAAGGCAAAAGGCATCTCTTGATACTTAATGCACGAACAGCAACAAGCACTCAGAAACCAACTCACTGACGACGGGTAGCACAAAATCCATCACACTGGCTTCAGTGCTATCATAAACATTCATCACATCGTGGAGGTCTTGTGCACCTGGGCTGGTTGTTAATACCTCAGGTCTTAGCACCTGCTGTCAGAGGCCGAAGTGGCGATTTTTAAGTTACAGTGATGAACTGCTGGGGACAGCAGCTTCGACTCCTTGATGGGAGGTTTAAAAAATTAACATTTTAAAACTGGGAAACAAGTCCAGAAAATGCTAGAAATTCTCCTATCTGAAGGCACAAAGAATAAAATTGGCAGGTAGCTGATAAAACCTGACATATAGAAATATACTTTAAAACAATCTAGAAGTATAAAATTTGTGGGGCTTTTTTTCCCCCTCCAGTACTTTTGACTAATGCTGAAAATACCTTCTAGTTCTACTTGGTTAACTGGATTTCTGAAAGACGAACGCTGGAATCATCTGTTTAAAAAATAAAGTCACCTTAATCATCAAAAAGGTAACCGCAAAGGGAACTGTTACCCGAAACCCTAGCGCCACCTGAAAAGTTAAATAATTTAAGGCAAGGTGCTTAAACTATTTAGGTAGTTGAAAACCTAAACAGAATGGCCTGGTAATGTGCAGACACACTTCTCAAACACGTGTGCGAGAGAAACACATTACGTGCGAGGACTAACTGTGCAAAAAGGTTGGGCTAGCTGAAAAATCTGGTTTTTCCTCCTTCCCAGTTGTTGATGTAGGAGGCACACAGCCCAGCCAGGGCAGCTTCAAAGCCCAGAAATGGCTATGTGATGACTGATGGGAATAAATTTCTTGCCTATTAATAGTTTCCACTGTTAGAAGCCTACAGACATTGGCAAGCAAACGTAGTCTCGGGTTTTCCCTGTTCCAGGGCATTCTGTTTACAACGGGCATGAACACGGGGCAACAGGACTTCTCAAACGCTTACTAAATTCAGAATATTCCTGAGAAGGCAACCCCTGCAATGCACAATAACAAGCAACAGCCAGGTTTACAGGGACAGATGCAGGTCACATGCACAAGGCTTCCCTAGCAAGAGACAAGTGTTAAAAAAAAAAAAAAAAATACCAACCAAAACCTGGCCTGGGTTCTCCCCAGAAAGGCCAACATTCCCACCACCTCCCTCACTCCGGCACCGGGACGCAACCTACTCGGCCTTCCGGCCACCTGAGGGCCCTTTCTGGACCAGGTGAGCGAGACACTTCACACAGCAGTCAGGACAGGACCCTGCCAGGTCCCCCAGCAGGAAGGAGGTCAGACACTCCGGGAAGGTGTCGGGAACCACAGCCCGGAGCTGGGAAACGGCTGCAGGGCGGCTGCCCCGTCCGCCGCTCAGATGAAGTGGATCCAGCTCTCTTCGCACTCCCCGCGGGGCATGTGCAGCGCGTGATTGCGATACGTGAGGCTGTAATCACGGCCATCGTTGTTGTCCCAGTACTCAGCGCCGGCCACTCGGTAGCGCAGGGCGAAGTGCACCTGCGCGCCGAGTTCCAGAAGGAAGGGCGGCACGGGGAAACCGAAGGCAAAGACGTCCTCGCTGCCCTCGGCGCCCGCAGCCCCGCGCCAGCGCGCCTGGACCTCGTGCGCGCTGCGCCACTCGGAGAAGGTGTAGCGCACCGCCACCTGCTTCTCGAAGGCCACGTTGCGCACGCGCACCACACCGCTGACGCCCAGATCCGAGCAGGTGACGCGCTCCAGACACACCAGCTGCCTCCCCAGGCGCTCGCCGAAGTCGGCGGCCTCGACGGGCGGCGCGAAGTCGGGCACCAGGCACTGCAGGGCGAACTCCACGTCCTGGAGGCTGCAGCACAGGTCCGAGTTGATGGCGAGTCGCGACAGCACGTGCAGCGGCACCGAGGGGTCGTCGCCCGCGTTGAACACCTTCACCTGCGCCAGCTCCAGGCCCAGGGCGTCGGCGAAGCGCACGCGAAGCTGCCGGCTGCAGCCCGGCCGGCACGCTGCCCCCTGCGCGCCCGTCGCCCTCTGCCGACGCTCGGGGGAGCTGGG